GTCGATGGATGCAGGTGGCTCAGGACCGTGCTTTGTGGCATTCTTTGGGGGAGGCCTATGTTCAGCAGTGGACTTGTGAAGGGCTGTAATGATGATGAAATGATGTGTACAGCTGCCCATAGAACCTTTCAATCTCACACGAAATTTCAGGTGTCCCGGAAATGATGCTGCCACACTCGGTCTTCGGCTTGGCTCTTTCAAGCAGACAGATCTCTGGCAAAGACTTTGGAGCCTTGGTTCCGCTGGATCGCTTCTTTTTTACATCTACCTTATAATAAGGGATATATAGGGCGGACTTAATGCCTTGTGGCATTCTCTACCAGTCAACCCTGGATGATTTGAGAAGCTGTGGTAGGTGCAACACCACTCATAAAAAATTATTAAATATTTTTAAACTATACAAACTTAATATTATTTACTTTGTAATAAAGAGAAAAAAAATAGTAAATATATAAACGGATAAAATATACTTATATATACAAAATCTCTAAATAAATATAAAATAATATAACACAAAAATAAAATAACATGATGCATATTAAAATACACATTATACAAAATATTAATTACAAAGCGAAAGAGGACAAAAATCGGATAAATCAGGTGGTATTATTCCTGTTAAAGAATTCTCGAACTAGGCATTTAAAATATTGTTTGTTACTGGTTTTTATGATATGAACAGGCAAAGCATTCCAGAGCAGTATGGACTGCACAGTAAAAGAGGAATTAAAGTGTTATAGATTTATAATGTCAAAGGCAACACTAGTTGTTGTCTCTAGTTTTTGTTTATGGTTATCTGCCAGAAATATAAAAATCCTTTTTGTTATAACACGTGGTTGTATTAATTAATTATTTTTCCCGTGTCTAAAGTAAAATATAACAATTGGCGACGAGGATGAACCAAAACGAGTGAAATTAATTAGTTTTTTTTTTACCAATTCCTATACCAGATTAGGAAATAAAATTTAACGCAAAGACAAACGTGTAACATAACCTACAAGCGGAATGAATGTTTTACCATTACATGGATCTAATCGAATATTTGATTAAACAAGGAAAAAAATCTTGGATACAAGAAAAAACTAAAGAAGAATTAATAGAAATTGCTAATATATTAGCAAAAGAAACAAAATTCTTGGACACGCATACCATCAAAGACGTTCGAAAATACTTACGTGAATACATTGATAAACAAAAAGAAAAAATTCGTACAGTCCGCTTAATCACTAGTCCTAGTTCTATTAGCACAATGAATTCTATCACTACTTTGGAAGTTTTCACCGGTGAAAATTGGAATGCGTACCAGCAACAATTTGAATGTTTCATAGTTCTAAACGACATCCCAGAGGAAAAGAAGGTCCCATTACTTATAACAAAACTTAGCACAAACGTTTATGATTTATTGACCACATTATGCACACCCATATCGCCGGTTACCGAAACATATAATAATATTTGCGAAAAACTGAGAAAATACTATCACCCATTAAAAAATTATGCCCTTTATCAAGCAGAATTTCGAAGCAGATGTCAAAAACCTAATGAAACAATAGATCAGTATATTATGGAATTAAAGAGACTGTCTAAATATTGCAATTTCAAAAATTTTAATGAAGAAATAAAGGAAAGATTACTAAATGGTACTTACTGTGATTCAGTTAAATTTGAACTGTTGAAACAAGCCGATCAGCCATTAGAAAGTTTAATTAACATTGGAAAAACTGTGGAGACAGCATATAAGTTGGTTTTTAATAATGAAAAAGAGCAGGAAAAATCACAAATGTTTAAAATACAAGGCAAATATTTTAACAGAAACCATAGTGTTATAGCTAGGCAAAATGTAAACCCAGCCATCCAGCAGAGTATCACATGTTTTTGTTGTGGTAAAAATGGACACATTAAAGCACATTGTACCCTACGAGAAAATTTTTGCAGTGAATGTGGTGTAAAAGGCCATATCTTTAAAGTGTGTAGAAAAAATAAGAAAATAAAAGTAAAAAATTTAAATGTAGTGCAAAAATTTAATTCAGAAAATAGTGATGTAAATTCGGATAAAAACCTCCCCATTAAAGACATTGAAAACTTTGATATCTTCTGTTTTAGTAATACAGGAAAAGTTCCATCAACTACTTTAAAGATCTTTGTAAATGGAAAGGTACTAGAGTTTGAGGTTGACACTGGGGCTGATGTAAGTACTATTACTTTACTCGATAAAAACAAGTTATTCCCGGAGCTAGAGATAAAAAAATGTAATGTTCTTTTTACTAATTTTGACCAGTCTACTTCTACGCCTTTAGGAATTATAGAAAACTTGAGTATAAGTTATGGATCTATTAAAGTTAATAATCAGAAATTATTTGTTGTAAAAGATGGATTGCCCAAGGTTATAGGTAAAGATTGGCTTTCTTCACTTCAATTGTGGCCCCCAAAGTTTGAACAAAGGGTTTGTGAAAAAGCGTCAAAAAATAAATTAATACAAAACATATTTGAAAAGTTCAGCAATCTTTTTGAGCCAGGTATGGGGGTTTTTCGAGGAGAACCAATTAATTTATTAATTGAACCAGGTGTTAAACCAGTATTTATGCCTGTCAGAACTGTTCCATTTGCTCTAAAAGATAAAGTTAAAGAGGAAATAAATAGATTGATCAAAAATAAACGTATAGAGCCAGTTGAGTATTCTGAGTGGGGGACACCAGTTGTTCCAGTTTTAAAACCAGATGGAACGGTTCGTTTATGCGGTGACTATCGTATAACAATAAATAAGCATTTAAAGATAGACCATTATCCATTACCAACAATTGATAATATTTTGATGAAATTACAGGGTAACAACTACTTTTGTGAATTAGATTTACAAGAGGCTTACCTACAAGCCCCATTAGATAAAGAATCCCAAAAATTAGTAACAATTGTTACTGAAGAAGGTACCTTTAAGTGTTTATTTTTACCTTATGGTGTGAGTACTGGTCCTGGTTCATTCCAGAGGTTATCAACACAAAAATTGAATGGACTAGATATAATTGTTTATATTGATAACATATACTCGTATGTTTATGGAAAGACATTGAAAGATACATATGAAATCATAATTCTTGTTCTACAAAGATTAAAAGATTCAGGATTAAAATTAAAAAAGAATAAAAGTAAGTTTTTTGAAAACAAGCTGGATGTTTTTGGATTTGAAGTAAATAATAATTCTGTAAAAATTATAAAAAGTAAAATTGAACCTTTGTTGTCTTTGCCTCGCCCAAGTAATATAAAAATGCTAAAATCATTTTTAGGGAAAGTAAATTATTATAACAGATTTTTACAAAATATGGCAATTATATTAAAACCAATGTATGATTGTCTAAAAAAGGATAAATTTGAGTGGACAGAAGAGTGTGACAAATCATTTAAAGAAATAAAAAATAGTCTGGCAAATACATCTTCATTATCACATTTTGATCAAAATTTAACAATTATATTAACTTGTGATTCTGCAGATTGTGGATGCTGTATTGTCTATAAAAAACAGTAATAACATAATAAAACCAGTAGCATTTGCAAGTAAAAAATTAAATGATTCTCAAATGAAATACCCAATTTTGGAAAAGGAGGCTTATGCAATAATTTTTGGTGTAAATAAATTTTATGAATATTTATTTGGAAAAAAATTTATTTTACAAACTGATAATGAGGCTCTAACTAAAATATTAGGACTGACTGACTATTTGTCACGTGTAGTTTATTTGTCACATGTCAAGATGATAATTTTAAAAACTTAGAATTTCTTGAAAATAACTATGAATGTAACACAATAAATTATATTCATAAATCAAATTTAAATACATTAAATTGGCAAACTATTCAAAGCGAAACAAAAAAAGATAAAATTATGTGTGATATTCTTAGATACTGTAGAATGATCTTGGTGAAGAATATGAACCATATTTTGTCAGAAAAAATGAGATCTCAATGGAAAAAGAATGTTTGTTGTGGGGGTATAGGGTAATAATACCTAAAAATATAAGAGATAATGTCATGTGTGAGTTACATGCTAGCCATTTAGGCACCACACGAATGAAAGAAATAGCAAGATCTTATTTTTGGTGGCCAGACATGGATAAGGAAATTGAAATTATAACAAAAAATTGTATTATTTGTTTACAAAACCATAAGAACCCAGAAAAAACCAAATTAACAGTGTGGCCGCAGCCACCTACTGTTTGGCATAGAATACATGCAGATTTTTTGGGCCCTCTTTATTCAAAAATGTTTTTGGTTATTATAGACGCTTACTCTAAATGGCCAGAAGCATATATTATGAATAAAATTACTGCACAAAAAACAATTGAAGTGTTCAAAAGTATTTTTGTAAGGTATGGGTATCCCTTACATCTAGTTACTGATAATGGCCCAACATGGACAAGTGAAGAATTTAAAAATTTTTGTAAAATTGTGGGAGTAAACCAGACTTTTACTCCAACATACTACCCACCCACAAACGGGTTAGCGGAACGTTTTGTGGAGTCTTTCAAATCTCATGTAGTAAAGATTGTAGAGAGTGGCCATACGGTTGAATATGCATGTAATTTATTCCTATTTGATTATAGAAACACTGTACATAAAACTACAGGCCAGAGTCCAGCAAAATTGATGTTTGGCAGAGAGTTGAGATGTCGTTTCTCGTTATTAAGACCAAACCCAGTAGTGGACAAAATTGATACTGAGCAAGTAAAGCTTATAATTAATAGTAAAAAATAACTTTAAAACATTCACTACTGGTGAAAAGGTGATGGTGAGAGATCATAGAAAAAATAAAAATAAGTGGTCTTTGGGTAAAATTATTGAAGTTTTAATACCGGGTGTAACTTATATGGTAGAAGTGGATGGAATTTATTGGAAACGACATGTCAATCAATTACTTGAATGTGGACAGACTATAGAATAAAAAATATTTATTTAGGTTATTACATTATACTGAAATATTAATAAGTAGCATAAAAAGTTTTTTTTTTCAGTGTGGGGGGAGAGTGTTATAGATTTATAATGTCAAAGGCAACACTAGTTGTTGTCTCTAGTTTTTGTTTATGGTTATCTGCCAGAAATATAAAAATCCTTTTTGTTATAACACGTGGTTGTATTAATTAATTATTTTTCCCGTGTCTAAAGTAAAATATAACACTGTAAATATAACAACTCTTATGTGGTGGAATACGAATTTTAAGACTATTTTGGGAACAGGGAACTCTATCATGAGTAGAATATTGGCACTGAAAGTTATCCTTATGATAAGAAGGAGAATTTGGGTCATTTAAAATTGAATATAGTACTTGTAAAATTCGGGAGCTACGCCTTTGACGAATAGAAAGCCATTTAAGCTTAGAACGGTACTGAGAAACATGGACATACTTACGTAAGCCGAAAATGAACCTAATGCAATTGTTGAGAAGGCACTCCAACTTATCGAGAAGATATTGAGATAGATCTGGGTAACACACATCCGCATAGTCAATAATGGGTAATATCAAAGTCTGGACAAGTAGAAGTTTAGTTTTAAAAGGCAGAAAGTTTTTGAGACGGCAAAGAGAACGTAAGGTGGCAGTAACTTTACAGCTTATTTCAGCAACTTCAACTCTCCAGCTTAAGGTATGGTCTATATGTAAGCCAAGATTTTTAACAGATTTACAAAATGGCAGCAATGTTCCATTGTAAAATACGGGAGAAAGATCATTGTTATTAATCTTGGCTAATATTCTACTACCACCTATAACCATTACCTTACATTTGAAAGGGTTAACCGAAACACCATGTCTGTACGACCAATCTCTTATGGCATCAAGGTCGTGGTTGATTTTGTGAATATTATGGTTAAGGTCATTAACACTAGATTGCACATAGAGCTGAAGATCATCTGCATACAGATGGTACGAACAGTTGAGAACTGAAGTAATAGAATTTATAAATAGAGAAAACATTATAGGAGAAAGTATTCCGTATATTATCTTACGGATTTCACAAATCTTCAATTTACACAATATTTAGTTTAGTGCACGGATTGCAGTACAGTTGAGTTAAACATAGTCAATGTTAAGAATGCGAAATCTAGTGCGTAGTACATATATATCGATGGTCCGAACAATTCCTGAGAGCACTCCCCTTGGTTGATGCGATAAAATACGCAAAAAGATGCAACATATCTTCGCAGTGCCAGTGAGTCAAGCCGTTCGGAAAGAACTCGGTCGTCGACGATTCGCGCTGCTCTGCGCTGGGTGCGGTCAAGTGGGAGGAGCTGGCACTGGAGAACCCCTGCCGAGATGGGAACAATATTTCATGTTGGGCCGAACCTGCGCCTTGTAAAGTTGCAAGCGGTGTGCAGTGTACTCTGCTGAGCATGCCAACCTATTTAGAGGCCAATTTGGCCTTCTCTTTCAAGTGAACACGAAACTGCACGTCGTTCGATATGGCAACGTCGAGAATTCCGATACTGGAGGAGACTGGAGGAGATACGACAAAGGGAAACCTATGTCATCGTCATCTTTTTTACAATCTATTCTCACTCTTTCATAGCCTGATGGGACAATACACGACACGACTTGAGAAAGACCAGGCGCGGAACCAATGGTGTTGAAACACTGCCAACTTCCTGGCTCCAAGTTGAAAAACCCAACAACTGATTTTGGTCTAACGCAGGAGCTCATTACTAGCAGTTGTACTTACAACAACTCTCTCAGACATGGTAATAGCCCTTACAATAATACAGTGAATCCTCTTTCCTGTTTTATCTTAATAACACCTTGAGTCACCACTGGCGAATTCAGTTCTTGCATGAAGCAAGATAACTTTTTGTTGGCCTACATATAATCATTTTGGTTCTAATGTTTGTTCATGTATAATTAAGGAAAAAAATTTTGTGTGTACAGTACATCTCCAACTACATGATCCAAGAGAAATTTCTAATATAGTGTTTTTTTTGTGTTTTGATACAGGTTTTTTAAAATAAATTGTTTTACCTATGTCAACATCATCTTTTTCACTCTTTGAACCAAATGCAACTAGTGGCAAGTCGTCTTCCAAATCTGTATGTCTACTTTCAAAAGCATCAATCTCCAAGACTTCTTGTTTTTCAGCAGTCTCTAGAATGAAACAGATTCTGACACAATAAATAAAATAAAAACTTATATTTTTTCCAAGAAACTAGATCATGTCAGTCCATCACACAGCTTATGGGCCTGAGCAACCCACCTTCATTACCGGCCGAAGAACTGACAACCGATTGGGAAGAAAGGTTCCCGAGTGGCAGCCTCGTACCAGTAGACGAAGTATAGGGCGGCCCAATTAGATGGATTAACGACTTGGTAAGACATGCAGGAAGTCGATGGATGCAGGTGGCTCAAGCCTGTGCATTGTGGCATACCTTGGGATAGGCCTATGTTTAGCAGTGTATGGCTGTAATGGTGATGATGATTCATTCAACTCATTTAGTGAGTATTCTGCCACAACTTGATTTTAGAAGGAAAGTGCTTGCCAGTACAAGAGTGCCTTGAGCACCTTTTCTCCATATTTTTTCTTAGTACAAAGTGACAAACAAACAAACATTTCACCTTATGGTATGTAGCAGATCCACCTGATGGTAAGTTACCCACTTCAGTCCATGGACTGCCTGCAGCTAACTTCCATCATTAAAGACTACAATGCGCTGTCACCTCTGACAACTAAGTTATACTTAATATTCTGAATCTATACCCAGGAATCTATAATCAGGATGGAACTCAGCAGTGCACACACTGCTATTTGACGGCAGTAATAGGTAAGAGGAGGAGGGAGGAGTCCATGTTTTGTATGTGGTAGAGCCACGCTGCAGCTGTATTATGATTGTAGCACTAATAGGTTGGCTTGAACGGGGAAGGACCTTGCTGTCACAGAATACCAGCGTAAAATAGCAGCTTAATTTTTTTTTACAGGATAGGGTGAAAAACGAGCACACAGTCCACCTGATAGTAAGTGGTTGCTGTGGCCCATAGACATCTACATTTATCCTCGTTTGCGAATCAAAATGCAGATGCATTGTCATCCACGAGGACTAAGATAGAATGCTTCTTTTCCAGTAAAAAGGGTCTCCGGTTTTCTACACTCACCATACGAAACACAGCAGCATGAAGCTGCTATTTGACGCTGGTATTCTGTGAGAGTATGGTCCTTCCCCAGTCGAGCCAAACCATTCGTGCTACAACTATACTACGCAGCATGGCTCTACCACGTAAAAAAAAAATAAGTTAATGCTGCTCCATTTCATATGCTGAGTGTAGAGAACCAGGCCCTTTTTACTGGAAACCAGGCATTCCACCATAGTCCTCAGGGGTGACAGTGCAATGTACAGTCCACACCATCCACTTACAATCAGGTGTTCTTGTTTTCATCCCCATTCTATAACAAAAAAATGTGCTTAGGTACACCTAAATTGACTCCTAGACAAAAACGAAGTCCCATCACCATAAGGACACTAAGAAATTGGCAAAGTTAGGTGGTTGCTTACCACATGTAAGTATATCATTAATTCCTATGAAATTAATACATCTTAATGATATTCATACTGGCTGCATTTATACAGGGTCAAAATATTTTTAAAATATGTTAATACATAAGTTAAAAAAATGTCTAAAAAAGGTCATTATGATGTCCATACGTGTTTTTACATACACTTGTACTCAGTACATTGCATATGAAGCCCTCTTTATTTTGTGTCCATAGGCTACAGTAACTAATTTTTATTATATTATTAACATAGGAACGGTTTATATGTAAACTGTTCTTATTAATTACTGCCATTATTAACTGTTATTATTAAAATAGGAAGTTTACATATAAACTGTTCCTATTTTAATAATATCACAAAATGTGTATTTCTTACCTGTTTCATGATTCCCATTTTCTTCACAGTTGGAATTGTCAATTTCGAAATTCTCTTCCTCAACTTTAACAGATTCAAGACTAAAAATTTCATCCTTACAATCACTTTCTATATCACACTCTACTGGCCTGATATCAATATGACAAATTGGTGTGAATTGAATCTCATCTCTTGCCTCATGTGGTTTTGGTATTGACTGAAATCATATTTCTTTTTTTAAATAAGAGAAAAAGCCAGTGTAGTTGGGTTGTGTGTGGTAGCAGAACTCATACTACCCCATGCCATCTCGCAGATGTCGTAAAAAGGTGCAGAGGGAAACTGAAACAGGAGATCGGAGGGCAGCATCTTCCTGACAACACCTCCAAATAATAATAAACACCGGACAAAAGTGAGGGTTCCGAATAATCTTAAATAAGAATGTAGATAGTTCATCCATCCCGAGAATCGAGTCTCAACAATTTTTGGATACAGATTCACAAATGCCATAAATTGACAAAGATCTACCTTTGTTTATTGAGTAATATTAATATTTCGTTTATATACAATAGTGTAATAGATAAAAGTACAAACAGTTCGAGAATTATTTTTGTAAAAATAAGTACTTAACTTACTGAAACTCATAACATATAGAACATTCCTCTAACAAGAAAGTAAGTTGGATTGAAGTACAAACTTAACTTTGCAGTAGAAAAAACGTTCTCCCATATGGCAATGGGAAGCAGCATAACAGCATAGCAAACAGGTAGTGATCGTCAAGGTGCCTGCCAAATGATGACTAATGCAAATACTTCATTATAATGGGAATGACCCATCAAGAAGTGAACTTTTATTAATAACAAGTATAATACAGTGCATTGTGTAGATGATGTAAGAATATCCACTATCCTATATACCTACCCACGGGATGGGTGTTGTAAGAGGCGATAGATAAAAACTGAAACAGGAGTCGGGCAGCACCATCTTCCTGATGACAACTCCGACTAATATAAACTACAGTTGCCAACTTGCCAAGTGTGGCAAATTTGGCAAAACCCCTCCTATGAAGCAATCTGTGAGTGAGGCTTATGTTCAACAGTGGACTTTTATGGGTTTTAATGGATGGAAAAGGTAATACCATGGATCCCCCTGAAAGCAACTGCTGCAGGACCACATTTGACTCAATAGCCTGTTGTTGTAATCTTCTGCAACGAATGAGTCTTGCATGACAGGTGAAACAGACAATTATGGGACCCTCATTCTCATCCAACTGAAAATATTAAAGTTTGTAATAAATATGGAATATTACTTAAATATATAAGTTTGTAATAAAATCTATTGGCTACCAAAATTCACTTCATCAACATCAATTTTCACAATATTGAAGACAAATAAATTTACATGATGGTAAGTGGCCAAAATAATACATATAATAACACCTGCAATGAACTTCAAGCAAAGGCTACACATGTGATGTTACCTCTGAGGACTAAGACGTAACATATCACAGCCTGTTATTATACTGGCCCTCAATGTCCTTCACACTGGGACACATACTGCTGCTTGGTGCCAGAAATAGGTAAGAGGATGATATCTACCCAGATAGACTTCTAGGCAGAAAAAAGTCCTACCACCTAGTGAATGATCATCACTGGAACAACACAGTTCTAAGCCTTCTACATCCATCAACTAAGTGGCTTTAAGTAACTGAACGACACCAGGGTTAAAATAATAAATATTAATTTTTATGTACTAGAACAGGCACCGGGAACAAAATCTACGCAGCAGTGCGGGTTGCGTGGAAGGAGGCACAAGGCATTTTTTTATTGCACGGACTCAGTTAGTTTGAGCCCGCGGGCTCTAAAGCGTTTTGCAAACAGAGTCTCGGGTACGACTTTCCATTGACGTCCGTCGAGTTTGGTGTTGATACGTATTTTTACAGAAAGATTACATTTTTATAAGCACACACACAAAGTTTCAATATGCGGAAACATGTACTTTTTGAGAGAAAAGTATTGAAAATCAAATATTTTTGCAATATTTATGTCAATTCCTACCTACTATGAAACTGACGACATTTTTTATTATTATTGTCAGTAGGGATGTCGATTCTTTCCGAAAAAGATCGAGTTTTTAAATAGATTCGAATTGTAAGCTGATGTATCGATTCCCAAAAAATCGATTTCTAAAATATCTATATTTTTTGTATGTTTGCATTTATAATGTAAATAGAAATACATTTTATGAGAAAAAAATTCCCTTCGTCATAAAAAAATAAGGGGACTAATTCAGAAAGATTTCTGTATCTATTTTGAGACTGCTACGTCTCCGGCGCTGCGGGAAGAGCAGCCTCCGCCTGCTGTAACAAATCGTAGGCATCGGACGTGCCGGAGCGGCTAAGGCTGGTCGCCGAAGGCGACCAACAAACCGAAGCTGCGGAGGCGAGGAGGTATGCCTGCGATTTGTTACGCTAAGGCGTAGAGGCTCCCCCTACGCGCCTTCGGCTCTATAAAACCACTCTAGGGGTAGGACAGACTCGTACCAGGTGGAGTCGGAGTCAATCAATTCGGTTCTTTGACATAAGTTGAACCTAACCTATTTTATTTGTTATCTGCCCTAATAGGTACTGTTAAATAAAACAAATTTCAATAAGATATCATTTATTATGGTATCTTTCTTGTTTTTCATAAAATGGGTTTATATTTATGTTATAAATAGAAACAAAAAAAATATAGATATTTTAGAAATCGATTTTTTGTGAACCGATACATCAGCTTACAATTTGAATCGATTTAAAAATCGACCTTTTTCGGAAAGAATCGACATCCCTATTGACGTCGACATTGACATTACAAAATGGTGCCAATTTTACGGTAGGATTAGACATAAACATTGCAAGAATAATTGATTTTAAATAATTCTTTTCTCAAAAATTACGCGTTTCTGCGTGTTGAAACTTTGTGTGTGTGTGCTTATAATAGTGTAACTTTTCTGTAAAAATGCGTATCAACACCCAACTCGACGGACGTCAATGGAAAGCTAAGCCGTGTCTCGGCGTATCTTCAAGTACCTACTTAAATAATAATACTGATTTTAGTGCGACCCAGGATACCAGGCTAATTGTTGTTTTTCAGGTTCTAGTTGTATTTGTCACTATATTTAACGCTGGACCTTAGCCTAGCTCCTATCTTTCGCATTTTATATCAGGCGTTATAATATATTTCTCCAGCGATAACAACAAATTACCACAACTTCAATAATTAGCAATATCAAGAAACATTAAAAAACTTACAATACTGTTCGTCAATGTCTTATATAAATTTAGGAGGCCAGTCTTCTTTAGTACAAGCATGCGTACATCAACGCTTAAACAAATTCGACAAACTTCACTAAAGGCCATTCCTGTTTTCTATAGCTTTATTATTTATTAAATAAATTAAAATCTTAAAATCACAGAACACTATTATCAATCATTTGTGACCACAAACTATATAGCACAGAGTACATTACTATATAGAAACATACGTTAGTATCATATTAGTCTGTGATAGAAACACTACGCGTTCAGATCAAAGAGTATAGTAATATATAAGGAAGGTTCAGATGGACGGCTCTGGTACATTTTTTTTTGGAGTTTATGGCCTGGTATCTAGACCTTTAGGCCAAGTCTTAAGTATTTTTATTCGGTTTATTGTAATTTCCCCACTCCTTCATAGTATACTGCTTCACAATATGTTGATGCGTCACATTGTGCAGTTCTTGGGAGATTTTGGCGGCAACTTGATCCAACAGACAGCTGATAGTTGGCGATGGTATCTAAAGGTGCCTATGCAAACAAACAGCTTATCTTGAGAATCCATCACCATCAGAGCACTTGTTTCACTGTTTCCACTAATAGTTCACATGCGTAGACACTTAATACACAAAATCGCAACACTTTTACATATCAAAGTCCACTTCAAACCATTATTTAAACAATAATACAGGAGCAGCAAACCGCCGCCGTTAAATTTCCCGCCAAAACTCCTCTGGTACATTTAGTTTGGACCAGAGTTTCCAGTTACAATTTTGGTTTGTCCCTATTTTTTTAGGATTTATCCCTAAAATTCCCTAAACGATCTTAAAAATTCTTATTTTTAAGGAGCATATGTTTATTCGAGAAATTAAACAATAATTTATTATTTTGAATATTTATTAATAAATCAACAAAAGATCAATCACCAAAAATCAGATCAGACAGAAGATTTAGAAACTGAAGCATTACTTTTGTAATGTTTTGCTGCACTTATCATGGCACTGTTGGGCTCTAAAATTGTGCAATTGTTTGCTTGCATTCCGAACTTTGTATGAAACAAGCCGTTCAGAGTTTCGTTAGAAAGTCTATTTCTTTTATCTGTTTTTACATTTTTTTTTAATTTTTATTATAAATAATTTTTCTACCTCAGTATTTGAAGATGGAACTGGTAGTAAAACAGAAATAACTACTTCAAGATTTTCGTAAATGAAATTACCATGATAATCTTTCATGCTTAGAAGAATCTTATTCCAATAAATGTCAGCTGGCATGTTTTTTAATTTTTCTTCGCTTTCAACTCCAAAATGCTTTAAGTTTATAAGAGCTTGATTTCTCCATTAGTTATCTGCTTTTTGCATGTTGCATTTTGTCGTTAAAAATTTAAATTTATCAAACACATCTTTCACTGATTGTTCCTCCAGATCGGAGTACAGGGGATTCCCTTTCAAAACTGAACCGTGGGTGGTGGACCCATAGAGTTTGTACATACTATAACAGGGTTACCATCATAAATTTTGATTTTTCCCCGAATTTCCCTAAATCGCTGTCTTATTAAAATAATCCCTAGTCATGTACGATTTCACTTAGTTTTCCCTAAAAAAGGGAAAAATCCCTAAAAGTGGAAGCACTGGTTTGGACCGTAGAGCAAATGGAGATTTCGGCGGGAAGTCAAGCTAAGCGGGTGTTTTAATTTTTGCTGAATTTTCATTTCTTTTTATTTTGTATATTTTTTGTAAATTTCCGTGTAAATAGTTAATTAGTACATACCTATATATAGTGTAAATACAATGGGTCCAGATTCCGACGGGGGCCCGGCCCCCGCCGAGCAAGAATCAAAGAAAAGGAAATTGCATGATACTCGCAAAGGAAATGCCGTCGACTACAAAATTTTCACAAAAACAAATTACACGCGACAATTCCCAGAAAACCACAGCGTAGACTGCGTAGTCTACGTTGAATCACAAGAAAACGAAAAAATCGGTAACAAAAATCCAATAGCACTTACAAAGTTATTTACGGAAAATGTAAAAGGAATCGCTGGCGTCCACAGAGTGAACGCATATAAAGTGGGCATAACGTTCAGAAAACCAGCACCGGCCAATAACTTCCTTACCATGACACACTTTCTAGGAAAACACAAATTGAAAGCGTTCGTGCCGGCGCACCTCACTGAAATTACTGGAGTCATAAGATACGTACCTAAAGACTTAAGCAATGAAGACATATACAAAAGCATTACCTGCGATGCAGAAGTCATCTCCGTCAAGAGATTTATGCGAAAGGTAGATGGAAAGCTCACTCCGCTGGGGACCATTGCAGTGACCTTCGCTGCAACAGCGCTGCCGCAGCACGCCTACATACAGATGTTCAGATACCCGGTCCACATATACATACCTCCGTTACTACAGTGCTACAAATGCCTGAAGTTTAATCACTCTGCAAAAGTCGTGTAGTGTGATTCTTATGGAATTTTGCTATGGGAGTAATGCTACTGATATTGAAGCCATATTTGTTTTGCAAATAGAGCTATATGGGCGATTTATTACTTAAATTGTAAAGAGTCCCTTAGTGAAAATTTTAAATAAATAAACATAATAACTTTGACATCGCAATATCTTTATGAAAATGTAATTTATGTACATAAAAACATAAATAGCTTTGATAAGAATAAAGGTGTTCATAATTTAAACACTAGGAACAAGCATAAGCTTGTAATACCATTTACTAGACTCCACAGAATTAGTGATTCATTTATGGGGCAATGTATGTACCTATATATGCTTTTATAACAAAATCCCAGAAAATGTACAAAATTTGTCAATAAACAAGTTTAAATGTTTTGTTAAAGAATAATAAATAGAATATAAGATAAAGATAGATAAATAATAAGAATAATAAAATTATACAGAAAGGGTTATTAATAATATCAAAAAATTTATAAATGAAATTCATCCATGGGAATGAGGTGATCGCCACCATGCTTATTCTATTAAATTCATTTAAAAATTGTACAAACAAAATTATTGTTAAGTGAAATATGTTTAAAAAAAGGCCCGCTGGGTTTCTTGCTGGTTCTTCCCAGGACAGAGGTATTTTCTGAACCAGTAGTAAATAAAAAAAATACTTTTAATAAGTATTACGTAATATTCTATATTGAATAGAAATTATTCTATTCTATTCCATTCTTTTGTAATGTCGGAAATGTGTCAATGAGGACAGGCGTGTTGCTGCTTCTATAACTTTAATTATACTGTTCTTATTCTACCTTAACACTAATATATACAGTCGTGGGGCTATACTACACTACACCTCCCACCGACAAAAAAAGTTATCTGTTTTTTATCCAACCTCAAAAAATTTCTAAACATAATTGATGAATAATCTTAATTAAAATTTAATGGAAATTGTTATAAAAATTACAATCTAATGTATACCGAGATTGAGCAGGGCGTTTGGCAACGCTCTCTCGCTAGTAAAAATCGCGTTTTCACAGAAGTATATGACATAGTCAGGCATAATTATGTATAACATAATAGAATATGATATTATTATGTTTTGATTTTCGCAAACATTTATGTTATTTTTTATTCGTATCCTTAATCATGAATACAAGTCATCTAGTTAGGACATTTAATAATACATAGTACGCATTTCATTTTCATATCTCTTTTCAAACTTCAATACTTCTCTTTGTTCTCATTTTACTTCATATATTTACTTCATTCTTGTTTAACAATTATCTATTTTCATTTTACTTCTCAGCATTTTTGCTACATATTCATTCAATATTTGTGTCATTTCTTTCACGTACACGGCTCGCGTACATACATGATCAAGAAAATGACTAATATTATTTCATTCACTTCTATACATAATATATAGCATTTCAACTCATATAATTTATTAATTGCACCAATACTTTCACCTACACGGCTTGGCGTACCTACATGATCAAGATAATGGATAATATTCCTATACAATTCGCACGGATGGGCCGGTTCGAACCGGGGTGGTACCACGACCTCACAGAATACCAGCGTGAAGTAGAAGTTTACCTCTGCGTTTTGCTTGGTGAGTGCAGGTGGCCGGAGGCCCTTTTTACTGGAAATGAGGCATTCCATCTTAGTCCTCACGGGTGACAACGCATCTACATTTTGATTTGTAATAGAGGATAGATGTAGATGTCTATGGGCCGCAGCAATCACTTACCATCAGGTGGACTGTGCTCGTTTGTCATCCTTATCCTATAAAAAAAATCTCAATTTCAGGCCACTCTCTTCGTTGCCTCAGCGAGCATCGGAATCCTTGGCGTCGACAATTCGAGAGACGTACAGTTCCGCATTCATTTGACAAGGAAGGCTAAACTGACTTTTCATGCCGGACCACCTCTTGCAGCTTTACCAAGAGCAGAGTCGGCCTCATATGGAATACTGTTCTCGTCTCTGGGCCGGGACACCCCAGTATCAACTCCTTCCACTAGACCATATTCAACGGAGAGTAGCTCAAATCGTCGACGATCAAGTTATTTCCAATCGGCTTGATCCACTGACCTTGCGAAGAGACGTTGCATCTTCTACCGCATATACCACGGGGATTTCTCAGAGGAATTATTCGGATTAATTCCAGCTGCTGAATTCCATCATCGTTCACTGCGACAGAACTCGAAATTCCATCCTCATCATCTCGATGGCTGGCGGTCCACTACGGTGCGATTTACGGAGAGTTTTCTGCTTCGCACGCCCGAACTGTGGAATTTACTGTCGCCAGCGGTTTTTCCGCATCGATACGACAAACTTATATCCATAAAGGAAAAGAACATACGTTAATACGTTTATCTAAAACAAAATGCGAGGAGGTTATCAAATTAATAAGCAAGCAATGCATCAACTGCATGAAATTTTCAACTGTCTACCTACGTTTCTAGTGAAGGAGCCCCTTTTAATTTTTATTATTTGTTGTTATAGCGGCAACAGAAATACACATTCTGTGAAAATTTCAACCGTCTTCTTATTACGGATCGTGGGATACAGCCTGCTGACAGACAGACGGACGGACAGCGGAGGCTTAGTAATAGGGTCCCGTTGGTTACCATTTGGGTACGGAACTCTAAAAAGATTTACAATTAATTGTGTGGTATCGTCACTTTTAAATTGCCAGGACAATCTCATTTCTGACATTTTGTATTTGTA